ATATATATATATATATACACAATAAAATAATAGATTAAAATTAAATAAAACTAATAAATATATGATAAAATAAAATAAATAATACAATAAATAAATAAATAAATAAATAAATAAATAAATAAAAATTCAGTCATTGAACCATGCTACTCTCCTACATTTTTCCTATTGATAAGTATGGGAATCAGGGTATGGGAAGATCTCTATTTACCGTCAACGCTGGCATCATCCACCAGGATGATCTCTTTGAGGAACAGAGCTGGCGAGGTGTGCAGGACGCTGTAGACGGTGCGCAGTAATGTACTCCAAGCCTCATTGTGGAAGACGATGATCACGCTGGTGGTCGGCAGAGGTGGACAGCGTCTGAACGTCTGTTCGATGCATCTGAGAGAGGAAAACACAGACAGACTAAATATAGATGGATGGTGTTAACTAGGACTGTGTGATACTGGGAGAACATGCCATTTGCAATGTTGAGTGTTGCGATAACAATATTTCTTTCAACACAGCCTCATTGAGAAAATGTGCCTTGGTGTATTTTTTGAGAATTGAGAAATGTGTGCTCGCAAGTACAGTATACACGGCTGCATCTGGTGTGTAAGAAGAGTGGAGTGGACTGAGGTTTGAGTCAGACAAGGGATGGTTCCAGAAACCAGAAAAAATACACCCAAATGTAGAGTGAGGTTATGATAAAAGCACGTGACCACAATGGCTGTGCTCTACTAGTTTGCTTTTGAAAACACTATCGGTTGGGTTTAAGGAAGGGAGTGTGTAGGACAGGTGATATCAAGCTGATATATAATGTACGGCAACAAACCAACAGGCCTCTCTCACGGGCATACACAAGAGGAACGTTAATATTCACAGAATTTTATATAGCGGCCTCTGGTCTTACGAGATAGTCATGTAGAGGTAATGTAATGGTAATGGTAGTCATGTAGTGATCATTCTTAAATAAACAGGTAATAAATATTTTTCTATATCTCAAGGTATCTTATTGGCTGTTGTCTTTTTCCTCTCCTGTCTAAAAGCAGAAGTGTTTGTTTTTAGCTAACAACACCTACTGGAGAGGCGGGGATAATAGTACAAACCCCATCGGACTGGTCAGACTTAGCTAAACAACCAGCACAGTAAACCATTCTTGCTGACTTAATTTTTTAACATTTTCAAATGAGCTTTTCTAGTCCTCTCAACTTATATCAATTAAACTGACAAAAAAAATTAAAGTTAAACTTTGTATAACTTAAAAAAAAATAGCTGAAACCTGATTAACAGATTAAAATAAATGAAATCAAATTTGATGTTTTGCTTGTCAATATTTTTTTTACAGTGCATGCATGTAGCACACAAATGCTTGGCACAAAAAAATACATCTAATTTAATACACTTCTCTGCAATATCGATATTGTATATACTATTTCCGCAATAATAGTCAATATTAATGTCAATGTTTATGTTTTAATATACAGTTGAAGTCAGAATTATTAGCCCCCCTTTCAATTTTTTTTTAATATATTTCCCAAATGATGTTTAAGAGAGAAAGGAAATTTTCACATTATGCCTGATAATATTTTTTCTTCTGGAGAAAGCCTTATTTGTTTTATTTCGGCAAGAATAAAATAAGTTTTTTATTTTTTTAAACACCATTTTAAGGTCAAAATTGTTAGCCCCTTTAAGTTATTTTTTTTTTGATAGTCTACAGAACAAACCATCATACAATAACTTGCCTAATTATAACCTAATTAACCTAGTTAAGCCTTTAAATATCACTTTAAGTTGTATAGAAGTGTATATGAATACATTTAGCTTTAACAGCTGTTTGTTGAACTGAAGATTCTTCTGACTGAAAACTAAAATGATCCTTAAAAAAAAAAAAAAAAAAAAACATAAATAGGAAAAATAATCACAACTTAATTATAGCTTGATGTCCCTTAGCCATAACAGACTTAATTTAGCAAACTACTAGTTTTGTGACAGGTTGTAAAGCAATGAGCAATAGGAACTCCAGGCCTGGTTTTTGTGTATATAACCACACTAAAGCAATAAGGGCAAGAACAAACGTGTTTAATTAAAGAAAGAAGCTCATCTTTCCCTCAGTCCGTAATTAGTCACAATATCTGTGCAGACAAGTTTAAATAACGCGTCTGAGGACAAACGCTATAGCCTGTAGTTTCACAGAGCCAATGATTATCCAGATACATGAACTGACTTTTGTTTAGACTCTGTGCACAAAAGCATTCTGGGATACGAGACCTTAAAAAACATAAAGCAAAAAAACAATGTGTGTGTAAATATCTATAGTGTGTAAATAAAATATTGTACTCGGTAAATATAAACAAATTTAGATTTTAAAACACAAAATAAATGAACACACACACACACACACACACACACACACACACACACACACACACACACACACACACACACACACACACACACACACACACACACACACACACACACACACACACACACACACACACACACACACACACACACACACACACACGCGTTTGGCTGGGTTACTTGGCATTTCTGTGTGGAGTTTGAATGATCTCTGTGTGTTGGCCCGGGTGTCCGGGTGCTCTAGTTACCCCCTTAGCCCAAACACATGCACCATAGGTTAATTGGATGATCTTAATTTGCTGTAGTGTATGAGTGTGTGTGAGAAAGAGTGTGTATGGGTGTTTCCCAGTACTGGGTTAAAGCTAAAAGGGCATTCGCTGTGTAAACTTATGCTGGAATAGTTGGCAGTTCATTCCGCTGTGGCAACCTCTGAATTAGAGACCAAGTCGAAAGGAAATTAATGAATGAATGTTATTCAAGAAAACCTACAGATCAAACTTTTATTTTACATCTACTAGGTGGTTCCTTGTGAGGTTTGGTTTGTTTTGGACTAATTTTTGATACCCAGCGGTGTATAATGATGTAGCCCTTATCAGAAGGTGATTTAGCAAAAAAACTAATCAAAATTTTACACAAGAACCATCTGAAATGTTTGAGTTTCATGACTGTTCAGCTGGAAGAAAAGCATATCTGCAAATACATGTACAGTATTAAGGATTCCCAAACTTTCTGACTTAAAAATCTAGTTATGCATGACTTTTTCAGCCAATCGTGATTACTTAAAGATGATTATTTAAAAATTGATTTCACAGCTTTTATGTTTCATAAAGCCTCTATTATAAAACACAAACTTTTCTGTGAAAAACCCACTCTCATATCAGTTGTTCATTGAAGAAAAATGAAAATGTATGCAAAACTTTGTTAATGCATGTCTGCGTTGCTGATGCATCATTATTAATCTCACAGAAAGCATTTTCTAGCAGATTATAACATTAAAAGCAGACCAAAATGTAGATTAAATTTTATACTATTATTTTATATTTAAAGGCAACATTAAATTCATGATATTTCTGTGGAAACCCTGAACACTTAAAAAGTGTCCTAAAATAATTATTCACAGCAAAACTGATCTGATTATATTCTATATAATCATATTTTAATTGTGATCACAAACACACTTATGCTGTCAGCAAACGCAAGCATGAATAACTGTTAGAGATTGTGGTTGATGAATATATATGGACTTACAGTGCATCCGGAAAGTATTCATAGCGCTTTACTTTTTCCACATTTTTTTTTTTGTGTTACAGCTTTTTTCCAAAATGGATTAAATTGATTTATTTTCTCAACATTCTACACACAATACCCCATAATGACAATGTGAAAAAAAAGTGTTTTTGAAATCGTTGCAAGTTTATAAAAAATAAAAAACCTGAAAAATCACATGTACATCAGTATTGACAGCCTTTGCTGTGAAGCTCTAAATTGAGCTCAGGTACATTCTGTTTCCACTGATCATTCTCGAGATGTTTCAGCAGCTTAATTTGAGCTCACCTGTGGTCAATTCAGTTGACTGGACATGATTTGAAAAGGCATACACCTGTCTATATTAGGTCCCAGGGTTGACAGTGCATGTCAAAGCACAAACCAAGCATGAAGACAAAGGAATTGTCTGTAGACCTCCGAGACAGGATTGTGTGGAGGCACAAAGTTAGGTAAGGTTACAGAAAAATGTCTGCTGTTCTGAAAGTTCCAATGAGCACAGTGGCCTCCATCATCCATAAGTGGAAGATGTTTGGAACCACCAGGACTCTTCCTAGAGCTGGCCGGCCATCTAAGCTGAGTGATTGAGGGAGAAGGGCCTTAGTCAGGGAGGTGATAAATAACCCGATAGTCACTCTATCAGAGCTCCAGCGTTCTTCTGTGGAGAGAGGAGAACCTTACAGAAGGACAACCATCTGTGCAGCAATCCACCAATCAGGCCTGTATGGTAGAGTGACCAGATGGAAGCCACTCCCTGCCTGGATTTTGCCAAAAGGCATCTGAAGGACTCTCAGACCATAAGAAACTAAATTCTCTGGTCTGATGAGACTAAAATTGAACTCTGGAGTGAATGCCAGGAGTTACACTTGGAGAAAACCAGGCACCGCTCATCACTAGGCTAATACCATCCCTACAGTGACGCATGGTGGTGGCAGCATCCTGCTGTGGGGATGTTTTTCAGCAGCAGGAAGTGGAAGACTAGTCAGGATAGAGGGAAAGATGAATGCAGCAATGTACAGAGACATCCTGAATGTAAACCTGCTTCAGAGTGCTCTTGACCTCAGACTGGGGCAACGGTTCATCTTCCAGCAGGACAATGACCCAAAGCACACCGCCAAAATATCAATGGAGTGGCTTCACAATGACTCGGCGAATGTCCTTGAGTGGCCCAGCCAGAGCCCAGACCTAAATCCTATTGAACATCTCTGGAGAGATCTGAAAATGGCTGTACACTGTTGCTTCCCATCCAACCTGATAGAGATTGAGAGGTACTGCAAAGAGGAATGGGCAAAAATTCCCAAAGACAGATGCGCCACGCTTGTGGCATCATATTCAAAAACTGCCTCCAAAGGTGCATCAACAAAGAGTTGAGCAAATGCTGTGAATACTGATTTACATGTGATTTTTCAAGTGTTTTATTTTTAATAAATTTGCAACAAATTCAACAAATTTTTTTTTTACGTTGTCATTATGGGGTTTTGTGTGTAAAACAATCCCCTTAAAGCAGCCCCTGGGCCACATACGGCTCGCTGGACTTCTTTGATCGGCCCGCATGAGGTATTTATTTAATTAAAATGTAATTTTAAACCTTTGAAGCAACCAAACAAACAACCATGTGGCATTTATATAATGTTGATATTGTATAAATGCCATTGTGTGATTTTAGTGACATGCACCCGAAATTGAATCTATGCGACCTCATAATATATTTAAGAGCATTTGTGTGATTTTTAGTGTTCAATTTTTTCTTAAAACAGTCTTCTCTGCCGTATAGATCTTATATTGGTTAATATTAGCTGTCAATCACTCAAGGCTTTCCGCTGTCAGATGACAGTGAGCTTTAATGACCACAGGAAATGCAAACGACTGAAGCTTGAGGAAGCCGAAATGAATAATAGGTAGGCTACACAGTTTTGCAAACCCATCTAAATAATGGCGCTGATGTTATCGATCACGTGGTGAATGTTGATGCATCAGCCAAGATCAACATCCAACCAATGCACATTCAAGGCAGCATGACAATGAGAAATGTAATAAATTGTTAGCGTTGTTGTAATTGACGCCATCATTAAAATTTTGTAATTATTGGAAATTCGCTTTGTAATTATTGCGCAAATATCAATACGTCATTACAGTACTAGTTACAGTTATTTCTGGTTTTTGCTATTCCTAATTGATGTTGTTTTTGAATACAATAAATCTCTTAATATACAATTTGCAATGCCGCTTATTAATTTTTGGTTGGTGCTCCTAATTTTTTTCTGGTGCTCCTAAATTCTTTGATGTTGGCAGCACCAGTGCTACCAGGTAAAAAAAAAAGTTAATTTTGAGCCCTGTATTGTGATGCTGGTCTTTAAACTACTATTTGTGTAAAATTGATCCTTTTTTAAACTTTAGAGTTTTTATGAATGTGTTTTTTTTTAAACTATATTGGTCTAATGTGGCCCCTTGGAAAAATTTATTGCACACCATTGCCTTAAAGGGATAATTTTACCCCAAAAAATCAGTGTGCTTTGAAATGTACTTTTTATTTTAAAACTGAAGCAATCTCAACTGAAAAATAAAGAGAGGGTAGGAGATAGAGTAACTCCTCCCCTTTAGCAAAAAACAGCCAATGAGAGTGCTTGAGCTGAAGTGCATCAAATGAAAAGCATCTTCAAGGGGGCAGGGCATGTCAGATACTAGAGGGCATTTGATTTGTCAGAAGATTTCATGAGAAACTGAAATATGAGGTCAAAAAAATCAGTGATCTACAGTTTTTAGGCAGAAGTGACAAACTACAAGCTTTCAATGTTTATATTGCATCAGCTTTAGATCTTCTAAAATGCTAATTTTGTCAGTTTTGGAGCACACTTGCCTTTTGATACCCTTTAAAATGAACATACCTACAGTACACCACAAGGTTATTATAGTTAACAAAAACGAATGAAAAATTTTAATCATTTTCATTAACTGAAATAAAAATAAAAACGAGAGTTTTTAAAAAAAAAAAACACTATAACTAACTGAAACCGTGTTGTGTACAAACAAAACTAACTGAAACTAACTTTAAAAATTATAACAAAAAAAGTTTGTTTTCGTCTTTGTAAATGTATTTAATACATTGCCTAAGCCTATAGAAGTAAATCTATTTGCTAGCTCGGTGTTTGACCCATACGCCATCTCAGTATGTAATACTGACACCATTGGCCAGATCAAGCCGGTCCTCCTCAAGTCAGTCCTCACTGTTGCTCCCGCAACAAAAACAAAGACTGGACATGACAGCAACACGATGACTAGGAGTGTCAAAATGTATTTGTTTCTTCAGTGCACTGCAATGCAGACGCAGACAATTCAGTATCGGTTCAATAATAATCATAATTTTCATAATCAAAATAATCATAGTTATTTTGTATTGACGTCATTTATCACATATGCGCTATGTTGCTGTATAGCTTACTATGGCGAGGGAGACGAGCACGAGTACTTACAACGCTGCAACTACTTAAAAACGCAGAAATTGTGCACAATTTCACTGAGTGTGTGTTTGCTGGACAGTTTTTCCACTGACACTTACAGCAAAAGCCCCTATTTCACGGAGATTGAGAGAATGAAAGTAAACTCCATTTCTCTCTCTCTCTTTTTCTCTCGCTCTTTCTCTCTCTCTCGCTCTCTCTTGCTCTCACCCATTTGACCTGTTGACCTGATTTTTCCTCTCCTCTTGGCTGTAACAGCTGTACTTCTGGACACAGACACGAGCACGTGTCTGTAGAGTTTTCTCCACCACGTCTATCATGGATCAGCTGTGATCGCCTCTGCTGTTTATCAGTGTCCTTCATTTGTGAAGAGCACCAGCGCATAAGAACCAATTGCAGTCCTTTCTGTTAAGCGTTTAACCAATCAAAGGGGTGTTAAAAAGACTTGCTAGACAGGACTCGAGCGGGAAAGCAAGCAGGATTTTTATATTTGTTATATAAGGTATATTTGTTTGTATTACAGGACAAAATTGTATTCCAAATAGTCTTTAAATATATTTATAAATTTTAATACAAGAATAGCTGTAAAGAAAATATAAACACTGTGTATGGAAAGCATCGTCAATACACCGTGATGCACTGAGATATCGAATTGAACCGAATAGATGGCATGATAATCGTAACCGAACCGAACCGTCAGACCAGTGTTGGTTCACACCTCTAACGATGACAGCGTTAAATAAACCCGAGCAGACTTTTAAAAGATTTATTTTTAACACATTTGTGCCCAATAATGGGTTTTATTTCTCTATTAGTGATCCTGATCACAAACGAATTGTTAATTTTCATCAAATCAAAATGATTTATTTGAAACGATTCATGTATCCAATAAGCACATATCCCCAAACTGCTTACCTTTTAACATGCCTGATACCTTCTCTGACTCAAATTAAAACAATATATACAGAGTTATTCCGTTATTAGAACAGTACAATAAGATCAGATTTGAGAAGCGGTGAACCGATAATACTGTGTGATTTATTGAACCAAACACAAACAGTACATGACAGCCTGCTGTGACTGAAGCAACTGCAGCGCGGGTAAACTGAGGGCTTAAATGTGAAGATCAGGTGAAATGTACATTTATTTTACAACAGAAAGTCATAATGGAATTTAAATGACTAAATCATGCTCCATTTGGGTTGCAAAACACAATTGTAAGAAACTTTTCAGATCATGGCGATGTTTTAATTGACTGAAATTACGATTGCTGACAAAATATTTTTTGATATGTTGAGTCCTAACATGGGAGGATTGTCACAAAAGATCTGGTTCACATTAAAGATCTGAACTTCCCATCACTACTGTGTATCTAACCTCAGAAGCAGCCTTGCACACATATTTGACTTAGGTCTGCTATCTTATGGGCTGTTGTATTTGAATTTGAGGATGGGTAGATGGTAGTGTTTATGTGTCCTCTGTAACATATTTGAGTTTTTATTATACAATATTTATTTAGATGATTTTGAATCATGCACCTCACAAATATCATAATTTACAAAACGACAACAAAAAACTAAAACTAATACTGAACCTCAATCATTCATTCATTTTTTTTTCGGCTTAGTCCCTTTATTAATCCGCGGTCGCCACAGCAGAATGAACCGTCAACTTATCCAGCACGTGTTTTATGCAGCGGATGCCCTTCCGTCTCAGGGAAACATCCATACACACTCATACACTACAGACAATTTAGCCTACGCAATTCACCTGTACCGCATGTCTTTGGATTGTAGGGGGAAACCGGAGCACCCGGAGGAAACCCACGCGAATGCAGGGAGAACATGCAAACTCCACACAGAAACGCCAACTGACCCAGCCGAGGCTCGAACCAGTGACCTTCTTGCTGTGAGGCGACAGCACTACCTACTGCACCACTGCGATGCCAATACTGAAACTAATAAAACTAGTAAATCTGCCTCAAAAAAATAGTAAATCTGCCTCTAAAAACTAATTAAAACTAACTGAATTTGAAGGCAAAAAAGTCAAAACCAAATGAAAACTAAAACTAATGAAAAATCCAAAACTATTATAACCTTGGTACACTAACATCTAGGGCTGGACGATAAATAAGAGTATAAAGTTAACATTGATTTGATTGAATGAAAATCTTTTTTTTTTTTTTAATGCAATCCACTAGCCTAATGGGAGTAATTTATATGATCTAATATAGCACAAAATAAAAATGAACAAACCTCTGAAAATACAAATAAAGACTTTAATTTGTTAAAGTCGATCTTTCAATGACAGCTTTTTTACTTTAGCATTTTTATTTTTTATAATTAATTATAATTATAATAAATTATATAGGTTGATATCCTTCAATCCCAAGTATTTTTTGTGATTATTTTTTAAAAGGTCATATCGCCCAGCCCTACTAATATCTAAAAAACATTATTTAAATTTCCCGGGACCTTTAAGGTGTGATTGGTAAATCAAACAGGTTGTTGTGTACATACTCTGGAGGTCTGGTGTCCGGCCCGAGGTCTCTGCTGAGCGAGATCCGATCACTGGCGTACAGATTAAAGCAGTGCTTCTCCTCTCCTCGCTCCTTTTCTTTTTGCTCCGATGAGCTCAAATTGTCAGTGTGAAAAGCCTTCCCAGAAGCACCCGGGGCACTGGGGTTTTGCGGTGGCCTTTCCAAGACGGGTTTGAGTTCAGCCGGCGTGTAATACCCTGATAAACAAGCTGAACTGCCCTGGCTTTCCTGCTGCCTCACAGGAGCTTTAATCTGCATCTTCGGCATTGCATCCCGGAAGTTATTCACAGCTCCCATCACCATCCCCAAAACACCATCCCGCTTCTCCACAATGCCTCTGAGCCAGGGCTCGTCCTGAGGGCTCTGACTGACCACTTCTCTCTGCATCAGGAACAGAAAGGTCACGAACACCAGCGCCACGATGGCCAGCTTCAGCGGGTGCAGGCGCCTGCGCAGAAGCCTCCGGATGAAAGTCATTCTCTTGAGGCCAAAACTGGAGTGCTCAGAGTGTGGTCAATTGTACAGTTTCACCTGACACACACCCTGAGTGTAACATCACTGCCTGTCAAACCTGTGAACCAGACATAGGTAAACATATGACCAGTGTTGGTGGTAAAGAATTACAAGTAACATGAGCTACGTAATAATATTACTTTTCTAAGTAACAAGCAAAGTAACACATTTCTCAAAAAAATGAAGTAATTAAAATCCATGCAGAATGGTCAAAGAATTTGGGAAACCTGTAACGATGCATTATTGAGAGTAAATGGAACAACCTTCTACACTCGATTAAGCTTAATTCAATTCAAGGTCCTCCACAGACTTTACTACAGTAAGGCTAGACTTTCCAAGATATAAACACATGTAAGTGATAAACGTGAGCGATGACATTCTGCTAAAGCAGATTTGCCAGATGACACAGATTGTTTGATCAGTGGACAAATATATTTAAAATTCTGTCCAAGGCATATAATAAAGACACTAGGCCTAGTTTTGAAAATGGCTGTTTTTTGAGTACTTGAACAAGGTACAGTCAAGTCCAATAATTGTCAAGACTCTTATGCCTTTATGCGTCTTACAGCTCGGAGAAGAATATTGCTTGATTGGAAATCAAGTAAACCACCTTTAGTTTCACTCTGGTTTAGTGATATGATGCTGTTTTTGAGATTGGAGAAAAGTAAACTCTCTTAGAGGATCTACTAAACATTTGTATACAGTATGAAATCCAATGATCTCGTATTTTGAAAAAGGCGCAACACTTCCCCCAAACTAAAACTAATAGGGAAATTAAGCTCTTCGGTGCATCCGGAAAGTATAGCGCTTCACTTTTTCATGTTACAGCCTTATTCCAAAATGGATTAAATTCATTTATTTCCTCAAAATTCTACACACAATACCCCATAATGACAATGTGAAATTATTTTTTTTTAATTGTTGCAAATGTATTAAAAATAAAACACCTGAAAAATCACATGTACAGAAGTATTCACAGCCTTTGCTTGGCACTTTGTTGATGCACCTTTGGCAGCAATTACAGCCTCAAGTCTTTTTGAATATGAATTTGAATTTTTGTCCATTCCTCTTTGCTGTCTCTCTTAAGCTCTATCAGGTTGGATGGGAAGCAATGGTGTACAGCCATTTTCAGATCTCTCCAAAGATTTTAAATAGGATTTAGGGCAAGGACATTCACAGAGTTGTTGTTTCCTCCATTGATATTTTGGCGGTGTGCTTTGGGTCACTGTCCTGCTGGAAGATGAACCGTCGCCCCAGTCTGAGGTCAAGAGCACTCTGAAGCAGGTTTTCATTCAGGATGTTTCTGTACATTGCTGAATTCATCTTTCCCTCTATCCTGACTAGTCTTCCACTTCCTGCTGCTGAAAAACATCCCCACAGCATGATGCTGCCACCACCATGCTTTACTGTAGGGATGGTATTAGCCTGGTGATGAGCGGTGCCTGGTTTTCTCCACACGTAACGCCTGGCATTCACTCCAAAGAGTTCAATTTTAGTCTCATCAGACCAGAGAATTTAGTTTCTTATGGTCTGAAAGTCCTTCAGATGCCTTTTGGCAAATCCAGGCAGGGAGTGGCTTCCATCTGGCCACTCTACCATACAGGCCTGATTGCTGGATTGCTGCACAGATGGTTGTCCTTCTGTAAGGTTCTCCTCTCTCCACAGAAGAACACTGGAGCTCTGATAGAGTGACCATTGGGTTATTGATTGCCTCACTGACTAAGGCCCTTCTCCCCCGATCACTCAGCTTAGATGGCCGGCCAGCTCTAGGAAGAGTCCTGGTGGTTCCAAACATCTTCCACTTACGGATGATGGAGGCCACTGTGCTCATTGAACTTTCAGAGCAGCAGAAATGTTTCTGTAACCTTCCCCAGCCTTGTGCCTCTAGACAATCCTGTCTCTGAGGTCTATAGACAATTCCTTTGTCTGCATGCTTGGTTTGTGCTTTGACATGCACTGTCAACCCTGGGACTTTATATAGACAGGTGTATGCCTTTTCAAATTATGTCCAATCAACTGAATTGACCACAGGTGAACTCTAATAAGCTGCTGAAACATCTCAAGAATGATCAGTGGAAACAGAATGTTCCTGAGCTCAATTTAGAGCTTCACAGCAAAGGCTTTCAATACTGATGTTCATGTGATTTTTCAGGTTTTTTTATTTTGAATAAATTTGCAACGATTTCAAACTATCTTTTTTCACATTGTCATTATGAGGTATTGTGTGTAGAGTTTTGAGGAAATAAATTAATTTAATCCATTGTGAAATAAGACTGCAACATTTTTTTTTTTTTTGAAAAAGGGAAGGGGGGTGTTTATGGGGAAAAAATGTTATCAAAAAAAAAGAAAGTCCTGTCGAATCTTTGCATGTATTAGTTCACCTTTTTCTTCCGTCAATTAAAAACAATAAAAATAACAATATTGTTAAAAACAATAAAAAATAAATAATAATGTTTAAGTTACTTTTTTAAAAATAATGCGATGCAAGTTACTTTTTAGTATAATTTATTAGCAATAAAAAATTTAATTGCTGCATTAAAATTAATGTATTCAGGTTGAATCCGACAGGAAAAGACAGAAACCAAGATGGCAGGCCAGAGCCTTAAATTTCTGCGATGGGAGTTATTCTGAATGCATGGAAGAAAAGGAAAAAAGGGGATTGTCTCAATAGACCCTGATTTTGTGTAATTTACAAGATAAAAAGTACAAAAGTATTAAACATTGTAAAAGTAGTACATTGTTTTAAACTTACAATGATCGGTATATGGCATGTATAGTCAACATTTGAAGTGGATCAAAAAAGATTTTTAAAATTGTCCTAAGACATGAATGGATTGGTATGGGTATATATAATGTAGCTCTGGGGTCAGGAATTTGAAATGTGAAAATGTTTGAAAATAAATTGCCTATAAAGTCTTTAAGAATTTAGTGCTGTTATGAACATCTGAATATTCTTAAAAAGCACTCTAAATTTTTAAATATTAAATAATTATTCTAGGATATTGCAAGGGTGTCCATGATGTTGATAAATACGATACTGTAGAGTAGAGTACGAGAGGCTGAGCTCTGCCAACAAGTTAAACACTTCTGACAACAACGGAAAAGGCTGGAGCTCCAGTTCTGAACGTCCAATATAAATGTTTTCTTAGATATTTAAGCCCCTTTTAGGTGGCTGGGAAATCATTCTTCACTTGAGAGGCATTTTTTTTTGTGAATATAATTTCTCTAACAACATCCCCTTGGAGTGGATTTTTATTTTATTATTATTATTTTTTTATAGAAATTTTCCAAATGGTAATTGGGCCTTTTTAACCCATGGAAAAGTATTAATCATATCACAAACTTTAGACTTGTCAAATCTTTTTGTCTATCTTTTCTTTATTTGTCTAGAAAGGTTTCCCTCTTATAATGTGGAAATAATTTGAAAAAAAAGTGCATAAAATATGCATTGTCTACTAGTTATATGACCTGTATAGTCATGTGTCTAATAGTTATAGTTATATATAAACATGCATTGTCTAGTAAATGTTGTGGAATTGTGATTTTTATTTTATTTTTGTTAAGTGAAATAGATTCAATGACATTATATTTAATTGATTTTAGATTGAATTAATTTCACAGAATTATATAAAATATTGCATCTATTAAATATATAAATTTAATAAGTATTAATCATATCAAAGTATTAAACATCAGACTTGACATTTCTGCTTAAAAAATGTTATTGTTCAGGATTCCCTCTTATGATGTGTCAAATCATTTGAAACAGAAGTGCATAAAAAATATGCATTTTCTATACTAGAAGCCTTAATGTTTTGGAATTATATTATATATTTTTGTTAAGCGAAATAGATTCAACAACATTATGCTTAATTTAATTAAGATTGAATATATTATTATATAATTATATTATAATTATACTGATTTATTTAGAACTATAAAATATATTGCATCTATTAAATATATAACTGTGAGAAGTATTAGTCATATCAGAGTATTAAATATGATCAGAAACATCAGACTTGTCATTTCTGCTTAAAAGTGTTTATTTATTCTTACTTTTTTCCCTAGAAAGCATGTTCAGGCTTAAAATTATTTGAAACAGAGGTGCATAAAAAATGTATTTTCTTATCCTTTTTTTAAAATCTATTTCTCAGTGAATATAGGCAATGTATTTTGGTGCTTTTAATAAAAAAAAAAAGATTTATTTATAAAATAAATCTATTAAAAAGCACTATTCATACTACAACTATCAAAAAGTTCGATCATTTTAAATTAAAATTTTCTTTTACACTAGATCATATGTTAATGTTTCACAACTTCTAAGTTGTTAATCCTAACACAATGTAATAAATATA